TCGATGCTCATTGGTACATACGGTCTTATGCTATGCATATTATGCATATTATGCATAGTTATGTCAATTTGTGTGCGATAGCCCTAACAACGCAACATATTGACATATCATGCGAGTATCGTGAAAGCTCTATACACCTTAGAATGATAGAATACGGCACTGCGTGATTTTCCGTGCGCACATTTTCTGCTTTCGATATCAAACAGAACCAACATAGTATTTGCATGACGTACTGAACACAACGTGCACTTAAGCTGGTGGCACACAGAAAAACTTAAACAGTAAAACTTAAACAGTAAAACGTAAGCAGTAAGCAAATTGACCAATCACAGTCATTGATTCTTCTTACGGTCCAAGAATCAACGACTGTGATTGGTCAATTTGTTTACAGCTTACGTCTTACTGCTTAAGTTTTTCTATGTGCCATCAGCTTAAAGCGAGAAGCACACATTCTTGCATAAAAGCATAAGGGCCTCCACACACAACTTGACATAACAGTAACGTCAAACGTATCTTAAGAATTGACAATTAATTTTAAGGTCGCCATTTTGATGAATACTCGACCGTAATTGGTCAATTCTTACGGTACGTCTTATGTTAAGGCTACGGAAATTTGTGTGTAGAGATCTTAATACATAACGCATAAGAAAATTGACTAATCAGAGTCCTTTATTTTCATCGTGACAATAGAAATGAGAATTCTGATTGGTCAATTTTTTTATGCGTTGTGCATTGTGCCTTTATGCAAGAGTATGTGCTCCCCGCTTTATCGGGCGTATTGCACTGCGTGAGCAATACCGTCTGCATATTTTCTGCTTTATCGATATAAAATAGCACAGTACTAACATAATACTTGCATGACGTGCTGAGCACAGTGTGCATTAACGTGCCGGCACGCTTGGTTATCGGGATAGTAAAGGCACTTTGTTAGGCAACTTTGTTAGATGGTGTCTCAAAAATGCGCCTAGCTCTAAAATCGGGCTAGTAGCCGCTCTCAGGCTTCTCTCTGCTAGGTTGCGTTCAGATTTCTCATCCGGGTGCACTCTATTACTAGAAACATTATAGTATATGTTAAATATACTATAGCATTTTCAGTATTAAAGTGCACCCGGATTGGAAATCTGAACGCACCATAAGATACGTTATTGCCAGACTCTTATTAGAGGGATTCTAAACTTACAAGACGTTATTTCGAGACTCTGGGAATTTATTACAATTCTGTATGAAAAGTAAAAATGCGAAAAGTAAACAAATTTACTAGAATATTTATCATTTTATTGGTCAATATCTAGTGAATTCACTCACTTTTCGCATTTTTACTTCTTACACAGGGTTGCGTTTCAATTCCCCATCCGGGTGTGTTCTATTACTAGAAGTGTTATAGTATATGTAACATATACTGTAGTGTTTCTAGTAATAGAGTGCACCCGGATGAGGAATCTGAATGCACCCTAGAACAGTAATAAGCTCCCTGATTCAAAGGTCTATAATGGCTCCTGCACACAAGACGCGGTAATGCTTGCCGCGCGGCGGAAGTCTGCGCGACAGCCAATCAATATGTTGTTTTTCCGTAGGAGCTAGAAGGTTATTACGGAAAGCAGCATATTGATGGGCTGTCGCGCGAATTTCCGCCGCGCGGCAAGCATTACCGCGTCCTGTGTGCATAAGCCATAACTCCGGCCACTAAATTCAGGCTGCACTCAAATTCCCCACCCGGATGTATTCTATTACTAGAAGTACTATAGTATATGTAACATATAATGTTTCTAATAATAGAGTGCACCCGATTAAGGAATCTCAACCCCTGGGCACACCCCTGGGAGTCGATTCTGTATCTCGAAACGAAGTGAAAATTACAAAAGTGAGCAAATATACTAGAATATTCGTAATTTCATTGGTCAGTGCCTAGTGAATGTAACTCACTTTTGTAATTTTCACTTCGTTTCGAGATACAAAATTGACTCTCTGGGCTGCGTTTGAAAACTCTACTCGACGAATAGAGTAGCATTTCATCAACCAATAAGAACAAAAATAACTAAGATTTCTTTATCATAATTGGTCAATTATATGTACTCTACCCACCAGTAGAATTTTGGAACGCAGTCCTGGTGGCTCTCATGTTTCTCTCTATTGCGCATGACTATTTAGTAAAATTGGATTTATCACATCAAAGAAACCGATCTAAAGCCAACGGCACACGATGCTTGTTTTCATATTGGATTGCTTGCTGGATGGAAGTACTCTATTCTGATTGGTCCGTCTTCAGAAATGCACCAATCAGAATAGAGTATTTCCATCCAGCAAGCAATCTAGCATGAAAACAAGCATTGTGTGCAGCTGGCTTAACTTCTTGTTTATGTCTAGCTGCGTTCGGAAAACATCACTTGAGTACTCTCCCTCTCTTTTTATCTCACTCTTGTATTTCGCTCGCTCCAACGGCTATCGTTTAGTAGTGTGCACACAGTGTTTCCGAACGCAGTCTATGTTGTCCTAAGCGCGGTGATACTACACAGGTTATAATTTGATGACGGTCACTTGTGAATAACAATATCCAACAATGATACTTTCACGAGGATTAAACGTATTAAAAATTGCATATAAAACAAATCAAAATAAAGTTGCTGCGATAAATTTGCAATCTGTTAGATCATGCCACGAGTAAGTAGAATTGTTATATAATTCTACGTTATGCGAGGTTATGTTCCAATATTTGTTTTCTGTTATTATTTAAACTAAGCATAAATAAAAATAAATATATATTATATGTAGTTACTTAAGAACAATTGTTAGATCTCTCTTCTGTATTACATAATTATTAATAATAAAGTGTATTGTTAATAGTTCTCAGACAATTGATATAAGAGTATAGTTTTTTGTGATTTATTTTTTTGATATTCTTAATAATTTGTTAATATATTATTATTAATATGCTATTGTTACTAGCTTACCATGGGCATATCGTTCAATTTGTCCAATGCAAAAGAATTATTTATATGCAGCAGAAGCTTTCGGAGGTTTTATGTGGTGGTGGATATTGTGGCATTTTTGGCATGACTTTGATCACATTGTCGTAAGTCCAATAATTAAATCACATTGTCGTAAATCTAATAATTAAAAACATTAATATCACCAGTTTGATATAATTCTGATATTAATAATGTAATGCCAAAATTTTATAAAATATTTTGTTCAGGGAGAATTTCCATACCCAGAAACAGATAAATGGACAGATGAGGAATTAGGAATTCCACCAGATGATTACGATGGAACTACAATGTGAATAGCTTAGAAAACTACATGAGTGTTATATAGAAAAAAAATGTTACTCTTATATATTCCAGAATAAACTTGTAAAACTTGATTAAGTAAAATGAAGTGCAAGTATATATAGTAATTTATTTTGTGTACTAAATTGACATACTACTACAAGAGCTTTGTATAAAGTAATTGTAACATATAGCAATTATTTGAGTTATACAATGTTAAAGCATATATAAAAAAACTTTCATCATGAACTGTCAAAAATTAATTTTCACTTGCGATCTTAATGTTGATTGTTTTTATTTCAAGATATTCTTTCAAGCCTTCCTCTCCCCTGAAAGAAAATGACGAGTTTAATAATATATTTTGGTGAATTACTTAAAAGTATTTTTAATTATTCAAAATGTCAGTTGGAAAAAAATGTGTTAAGTGTAAACATATTTGTAGTAAAACATAATTCTTATCTATTTCATTGATTATACTTTGCAACATAATCTTAAGTAAGAGGATTAAAAAATGTCAGGATATTTTAAGTCAGTTATTTCTTATATTAACTATTACTTCGATTATTTAGGTAAATCTAATTTATCAATTATCACTTACAATTCACGTCCTATTCCAGATTGTTTAAATCCACCGAATGGTGTTTGGGGTGTAATGGCATCGTAACAGTTGACCCTAGAAATAAGTATAAATGTGTATAAAATCAAATTATATAATCAATTTATATTATGTGTATTTTGCGAAGCTTGTCTAACTTACCAAACGCTGCCTGCTTCCACAGCTTGGGCGAATGTCAAAGCTTTATTAATATCTTTAGTAATTATGCCAGAAGCAAGACCGTAGTTGGTGCGATTTGCACGATCGATGACTTCATCCATGGTGTTGAATTTCAAAATCGATTGAACTGGCCCGAAAATTTCTTCTTTGGCGATTCTCATGTCGTCAGTTACGTTTGAGAACACCGTAGGCTGCACGAAAAAACCGATATCGCCTTTGCGTTCTCCGCCAGTTTGCACAACAGCGCCCTGCTCTTTGCCCGATTTAATTAAGCCCATCACTTTGTCAAACATGTCTTGATCGATTTGTGGGCCTTGTTGCGTCTTATGGTCAAATGGGTCTCCTACTATTCTATCGAGTGCCAGTTGCTTAGCATGTTTTACAAACTCGTCATATACTTTAGAATGCACGAATGTACGCGATCCTGCGCAACAATTTTGCCCGTGATTTCCAAATAATGCATTGTGTGCTATCTTCGCAGCTTCTTTCACTGAAAAATATTGGCAATAAATCAGAATGCAATTAATCGTTGCGTAATTTATTAGATAAAGACGCTCTTAAGTCGCTCTTATGCGATAACGTACCGTCAATATCGTCGAAAATAACAAGCGGACTCTTGCCACCTAGTTCAAGGCTAACGCGCTTAAGATTACTTTTGCCAGCAGCTTGCATTATGATATGTCCAACCTAAGAGAGACATATAATCCATTTATATATCACAATTATATATAATGTATTTATAAAATAATATAATATTGCAATGTACCGCATCGCACGCAATTATTCATTAAACTTAATTAATGACTCAAAATTTTACCTGGTTGTTTGTAAAATACTAAAGGACTTTTGTACTCAGTTTGAAAAATTCTACAAAGACACGAGCAGATGTACAATTTGAGGCAGGTGTCGTGTGTATTCATTGTAATACTATTATTTATGCAAATACCTCGCTTGATCCTGTGAAAGCCACTTTACAAATGTCTGGATGCTCAGAAATAGCTGCACCAGCAGTTGGACCGTAACCTGGGATGACATTTACAACACCTGCTGGTATTCCTGCCTCTTTAGCAAGAGCAGCCGCGTAAAGTGCGGTCAAAGGTGTTTGTTCCGCTGGCTTCAAGACTATGGTGCATCCAGTAGCTAATGCAGGAGCCCATTTCCAAGTTAACATCATAAAGGGATAATTCCAAGGGATGATTTGTCCCACAACGCCGATCGGCTCTTTCCGAGTCAATGTGAAATTGGTGCCATCTGGTCAAACAACAAATAACGCTGCTCTTATTTCACATACCAATATATCATATATAATAATAATGCATAACATTATTTATATCTATAATATATACAGGGTGTCTCACACTCTCCTCCGGGCATTTTGTGGGGACGTAGAATGGGTTAATGTGAACATAAAAATCCTATATCGTTTTGCGATAATCACAATAATTATCGAGATATTAATTGTAGAAAATTTGTAAATGATCATGCAGAATATGATAAATGAGTTATAATAGCAACGACTGCCGTCGTGTATTTATACTTTAGGTCAAATTGAACAAAAAAGTCCTCTATCATTTTCCAAATAATCACATAGATTTTTAATTATTAATTAAAGAAGATTATTGCACGATGTGATAATGCACTCATCTTCTTTAATTAATAATTAAAAATCTATGTGATTATTTGCAAAATGGTAGAGAACTTTTTTGTTCAATTTGATCTAAAATATAAATACACGACGGCAGTCGTTGCTATTATAACTCATTTACCATATCCTGCATGATTATTCACAAATTATTCACAATTAATATCTCGATAATTATTGCGAATATCGCAAAACGATATAGGACTTTTATGTTCACATGAACCCATTCTACGTCCCCACAAAATTCCCGGAGGAGAGTGTGAGACACCCTGTATATAATAAAAATATAATAATAACTAATATAATAATATAATACAATAAGTAATAATAATAATTTTGAACAAAAATACCTGTTGGTATAGTAGTTCCAAATATTTTATCACACCAGCCTGCATAATAACGGAAGAAGGCGACACTTGCTCGTATATCACCGACGGCGTTTGCATATGTCTTTCCATTATCAAGAGTCTCAAGTGACGCGATATAATCTACATCACGTTCGATAAGATCTGCGAGCTATTTTATTCATTTATATTAGGATACGGACGGTTTTCGTGTTAGCAGCAAAACAATTTATGATTGTAAATTTCTACCTTGTGAATAAGTTGTCCACGAGCGAACGGATTCATTTTACGCCATTCTGACTTTCTGTTAAACGCCCTTTTAGCGGCTTCTACTGCCTTATCTACGTCAGCCTAAAAAGAAAATTGTTTTTTTCAAATAGCTACAATCACAACTTATTTAAATTAATTCCTTTTTATTACTTAGCAACGCGCATAATTAACCCTCCGAATAACAATTTTTGCCACTTTCAGAATAACAAGCAGGTTCATTAATATCTTCTTCGATTTTTCTTCTTATTAAAATGTCCAAAAAAATCCCCAAAGAATTATCGAAACTTTCTTTACCCTTTCTTTCTTTTTCTAGTTAAAGTCCAACTAATATTATTAACTAATATAATAACTATTTTGTGAAAAGTAAATAACCAATAAAAGCATTTTATTTTTAATGATTTTTAAACAAAAATGCTTTAAGAAATAAGTAATTCTTAAAACAACCGAGACATATGACTTTACCACTCGGAAGGTTAAATCTAATAAGTTAAGTATATACATAAGTATACTGTGCAAATATTTGCTTCTTTTTTTTTTATATGTAATCAGAAAACTAGATAAGATATGACGTCAACACTGATAACTGATTTATTTATACATTAACTACAATATTATAAATTAACGTTCAATTCTTGCGTTCACTCGGTATAACGTTATAATAGTTAAACAGACAATTTTACCTTATCTCCTTCTGAAATTTCGGCAATGACCTTCCCATCCGCAGGATTTATTGTAGGAAATTTACGACCGCTTACAGAATCCACGAATTCATTGTTGATAAAGAGCTATAAATAAATATTTCACGTATGCAGTTAAAAGACAATGCTGTTGTGTATTTTTAATAAACGAAGAAAATATTTGAGAATTCGACGAAGTCGTAGACACCTAAATGGACTTACTTGAGTATATTTAATTTTCACTTGCTTCGCCATCTTATCTTCGGTAACGTCTTCCCTCGGCAGCAGTCAACGAGCAAATGACTCAATCTCGTTGAGCTTATTTAACAATATACTGTCGCTAGTATCGTGGCAATTTATATTTAGTCCTTGATAGAGAGACGCCTCTACCGTTCTCCGTATCTTTTCCTACGTACGAATATCGGATGTTTTAGTTAGGGATTATTAATGTACCGACTTATTTAATAAATACTGGCACAATAATATTAACAATATAAATATTCAAGCTTTCATTCCAATGTAGTTTCTAAGTTTAAATATTGCTAATGTATGTAAATAGAATATGAATCAATAGAAATTGCTTTGACTTTCATGAAGGTTCCTCACTTTTATTATTTTATTTATATTATTGTTACCAGGAACTATACGGTATACTAACAATTATGTCGATTCGATATCTATCATACAACGCAGTTTTAACCTTATATTTACGCAACGAAACATACCATGCCGACAATCATCGAGATATAAATCCAATCATGCTTACATTCTTTGGCTGCGTTCAGCAGAGAAAGCTGCTTCACAACTGTTATAAAATTTATGAATCTAATTGGTACAATTATACTCACATTACTCTCATATTTCGCCAAAATTAAGAGCATACCCCAGTCAGATTCACGAATTTTACAACAGTTGTAAAGCAATTTTCTCTGTTGAACACACCCATAATGTCTCGAAATATTATAAATCTAATTATCACTTCACAATTCTTAACTAATATACGATTATATAATAGGCTATTTATTATATAATTATGTAGTGTGTATAATCCATTAAAGATAGTATAACGTATAATATCATTTGCAATGCAGAGATAACACTGCATGCAACATCTCCCAGAAATTTTTATAAAATCCATAGATTTTAGATATATTCCGTATATAATATTATATATAATATTTCGTAATAGTATTTCTGTAATATTTCGTATTTAATTTTAGAAAGACTCTTCGTATCTAATAGTTGACTGCGTTTTCTCTTAAATTATCTACCGTTCCAACATATCTAATCTTATTGTTGATTAAAGAATAGATTAAATGTTTTTAGGCTATAAGTTTCATAGTTTTAAAATGGTATTAGGCAAATATATATGTACATATAATACAAGTAACACAGTAAGATTATTCAACTCGATAACTTCATTGAATAAAAAAAATTTTGTTCGCGTTTTATTTTTAAACTCTACAAACAACTGTAGTAACATGAGCTACATTAACTTTACTTTATTTAGGATTATTACCTTCATATATCAAAGTCAAGTCAATTAAAAGTGGTGACCACAAACTCAATCTTTATCTTAATTTTTTTAAATATATACACTAACTTTAAATATATACACTAACCTTTATATAAATGTGATATTTTACAAAACATATAAATATGTTATACGAAGTTAGTCATCTGCGTAATGCTTTTGTTGAAAGTCAAAGTCAAGTCAATTGAAAGTGGTGACCACAAATCAATCTTTATCTTAATTTTTTTAAATATATACACTAACTTTAAATATATACACTAACCTTTATTTAAATGTAATATTTTACAAAACATATAAATATGTTATGCGAAGTTAGTCATCTGCGTAATGCTTTTGTTGAAAGTAACAGCACTTTCTGACAGAAAAAAGATAGAACTGATTAATCTAACGGTAAATTCCGTTCTTTAAGAAAATGCAGCGATTCGTCGATGCCGCGCATATTAAATCGATAAATGTGGCTCCTTAACCATACGTTCGGACAATAGCTTAAACTGAGGAAATCTACATTCTATTATCATATGCAAATGTTCAGTTGAATTTTTAAACATACTGTGAACGTTTAACATATTTTGACAATTCAAATGTAAAACGTTGGTACGGTTTTTAACGTGTAACGTTGACTTTTCCGCAACGATCCGTCCTTATCTTTTTCTTGTACTTATCAAGAAATGTCTACTACTCTGAACCAACATGATTACTTGGGAACCTCACAATATATTGCGCAAAAAACCGAGGTAAGTTCTCGTGTTATTCTCAATGATTACGTGCAACATCATGAGATCCTTTTTTTTTAACTTCACTTTTAGTTTTATCCTTGAGAATATTAAGCTGCTTTCTGTCATCTTTTTGTTAAAATATTTCTACTATCATTTATAAAATACTAATCTATAAAATATGCCACACAGATATCAACATACTTATTAGAGAATAAATTGAATAAATTGAACCTAACTAACAACGTGTGCATATATATTTGAAAAAGAATTTCACTTATTCACATATCGTATTGTTACACACGCAAACTTTACTCGTGATGAATTTTGAAATAGAAAACGCAATCGTGTCTTGAATACGGCGGTGGTGAGACTGAAGGACTACCTCCTCATTGTCCTCAACCCGAGAATGAAAGTTTAACAAAACCCGAACAAGCAATGATATCAATTGACCCATGGGCACCAGGCAGAGTAACCTGTTCTCTTAAAGGTGGGATTACAGGCCTGAGGCCGGTTACAAATCAATATTCCGTGGTTCTCCTTGGGCCAAAAGAATGGCAGACACATAATTTAAATATTTTTCAACAATCAAACGAAAAGATCACTGATGCTCAGTAAGTAATACAATAAGTATACCGTTTAATGAAATCTCGATATAAGGTGAAATTAAATTTCTTCGGGTAATCTTTAGAATCACAGCCAATTGTGCAAGAGAATGCGTGGAACAATCTTACAAGGCTGTTGATAATGCACAACTAGAAGCAACAGATCAATTAAAAACACGTGCCAACCTGGTTCACCGTCATAAAACACAACTAGAACACGCTATCACTGCCATCACTGAAGAAATAAGATTGTTGGAGACTGAACGTCGTCGTGTACAACAGTCTTTACTGGTACTAACTACACCTACATCTATCGCAGGCGAGTTTTTACAATTACGTTGTTCTCGCCTAGAATCAGATCTCGTTCGCGATGATGTCGAAGAACAACTCGTCAAGGTCAGTAAAACAGGTTATACAGGATATCCCAAACTCTCTTACACAATTTTTATGGGAATATAGGGTTGATTGAGATGAGCGTAAAAGTTCTATACTGTTTTGCGATATCCGCAATAATAGTCGAGATATTGATTGAAAAAGATTGGTAAATAATCACGCGCGATATGGTGAGCCATAAATGAGCTATAGTATTCAATGTATGCTGAGTGTTACATTAAGTCAAATTGAATAAGAAAGTCCCTTATCATTTTGCAAATAACCACGTAGATTTTTAGTTATTAATGAAAGAAAATTGTTACATGATTATGCGTGATAATACGTACAAATCTTCTTTAATTAATATCTGAAAATCTATGTGATCATTTCAAAAGTGGTAGAGGATTTTTTTTTATTCAGCTTGACCTAAAATGTATACAACAGCAGACGCCGCCATTATAACTCATCTACCATATCGCGCATAATCATTCATCAATCTTTAATTAATATCGCGAGATTTATCGTGATTAATTCTTATCGCGATTAATAATTATAGCGAGATTTATCGAGATTAATTTCGCGAATATCGCAAAACGATGTGCGACTTTTATGTTCACCTCAATTCGTTCTACGTTCCCACAAAAATTGCGAAGGATAGTTTGAAATATCCTGTATAGTGATTAGTGCGACGCGTTAAATAAATTTGCAAAATGCATTATTTATTATCTTCTTTTCACGCTTTAAATCAATCTGCATTCCAGGAAGTGACGCTCTGTTCCGAGGTAGAAAATTTACTAAACAGAATTCTCGAGCAAATCAAGTTGCAAATAGTTGAACTAAAGACCGTCAAAGCGCGATTAGAAAATGATTGGTCCGATAAAATACACACTTACAATATAGAATCCGTTTCTGTGAATTTATCGAACGATTCTTCGCAGATAATGTGGAGAGCTGGATCTACGAGATTCCCAACAGTGTGAGTTATTTTTACTTCATGTTATATGTATAAGACTGATAGAGGAACGTCATAAAAAAGTAATATTTATGCAATCAGTATTTTACCATGATATATTTAGTGTCACGACATTGTCATATTTTTTCATATCTTTTTTTCCTCTTGCATTAGTCATTCGACACCTACGAGTTATGAAAACTTCACGCAAGAATGTTTAAATGCCTATGAAACTGCTATACGGAAATCAACAGATCTAAGGTCAACCTTGAATAAATTATACATTGATTTCATTAAAGATTTGCGTGATCAAGCGACTCGAGTTGACGTTGCACTCGAAGAAAAAGTGAAACTTACGCAAGATGTTCTTCGACAATTAGAGATTGAATTACTTCGCGTAAGATTTGATAATGCAACAAAATACACAAACACGAATTGGGAATAAATCCATATTGAATATACGCATTTTCAGTGCTTGCAGGAACTAGCAAACACAGAAAAACTGATCGTGGAACTCCGGGATTCAAAAAAAGGTTTAAACAATGCTATGAAATTAGCTCAAACGAGACTGGATAATAGGTTATTTCGGCGCAATATTGAAAACTGTCGGGATATGCCTCAATTAACGTACGTTGCTGAATAAAAATTGATTATAATCATTTAGTAGATTTAATTTTAACAAGACGTAATTAAGAAATGCGAGTGATAGAAGGAAATATTTTCTTTTTATTTAGACTCATCGAAGAAGTAAAATCTATTGGCGAGCGTATCTCTGCTGTATTGGCAGAATTAAAGCGTGCTGAGGAATGTCAAGCAAAACTAATCAAAACAAGAAGTATTCTAGAACATGAAATAATGGTGAAACAAAAGACTTTATACATAGACAGAGAACAAGGACAGCTGTTACGTTCACGTTATCCTTCTGCCACAGCTTTATCCGGATATTGACAAATTTGACACGCATACATTATCTTACTGAAATTACTTTCAAAACTTGGCATATAAGTCGATATTGTTTATTTATCTATCTTTTACATACTAATGTAACTCAAGTGAAATACAAAATACATATTGCGTAAATTGTGTGTAAATTTATAATTTCTTACCCTTTCTTAGTTGTATAATTTCTACCCTTTCTTAGTTGTATTCCCAGATAGCACAGAGAATTCAAAAAGAATTCAAAAAGAACTCAGTCATATGTCACCAATTCTGAGTTCATTTTCAGATGTAAAAAGAATTCTTCAAAGTTCAGTTCAGTGAAAAGAATTCTTTTTGTATTTAAAAATGAACTCAGAATTGGTGACATACGACTGAATTCTTTTAGAATTCTCTGTGCTATCTGGGTTGTCAATAAGTATCCCAGATAGAGAATTTAAAAAGAATTCAGTCTTATGTCACCAATTCTAAATTCATTTTTAGGTACAAAGAATTCTTGTCACTGAACTGGACTCTGAAGAATTCTTTTTGTATCTAAAAATAAACTCAGAATTGGTGATATACGATTGAATTCTTTTTAAATTATCTGTACTATTTGAGTAGTCTCATTCTGTTCTGTGTCGTTCGAGTATTTAGATACGTTGTTTTATCTTGCTAATTAACATTCCCGAAGTAATATAGATATGGAAAATGTGGAAGATAAAATTACTAAGGAGGATATTTATTTTTAACTTAACTATTTTTAACTTAACTATTTTTAACTTGTAATATGTGTAACAGATAGAACAATTCAAGTTGGGAATAATTAAAACTAACATTGTAAGGAAAATAAGGTTTCTTTTATTAGTGGTAGTATAACAGAGTAAAGCGCTTTTAAAGAAAATACAGAGACAACAATGTTTCAAACATCAGACAAAAATGCATATGGTCAAACAGGCTTGATGTCAGACATGTCAGACTTCAATAAAGTAAATGAGATTCAGTCAAATGTGCAAATCCATAATCTTTGTAAATATCCGATCAGGCCATGACATATTCATCCACATAAAGAAGAAAATAAATGATAATCAATTCAATAGCAGTTCCAGTAACATGCATCAGTACAGGAGCTATAATTAGGAAATATATTTTTATTTAGTATTCTCTTTCTTTTCTACTAAGCTTTACAAGAGAATCAGTCAATCAATCAAAACCATTCAATAGAACTAAGAATAAAGCAATGACTCTCGAGAACATTCAAGCTCTTTCACACATTACGAACCTTTTATCTTAGCGCTGTATCAATTGCAAAGTGTTGTTGATGGGACGTTTCTGGAAAAACATTTTATTTTATACAACGATATATACTATCAAAGATGAAAACTACAGATTATATATTTCTAAAATTAAAAGATGCTTTCAGTACTTTCACATTGTCTATTGCTTAAAACTTTGCCTGAATTGGGGGTCAAATTATATTATTATTATATTTTATACACGGTATAAGATAACATAAATAAATAAATAAATAAATATATATATATATATATATGATCAAATATAATATATTTACTTCATAAATTTCGTACTTTTTCTTTTCTCCTTTTTCTCTCTCTCTTGCTCAAATATATATCTACTTCGTTGTAAGCACAGAAAGCCTAATATAAATACAAGAAGTGGACTATTTCTTACGCTTCTTGCACTAAACTAGATAAACTACCTAGAAGCGACTCACATATTGTGTATGTTCTTCTGATTGGCTAGTATAGCACTTCGTCTGACGTCAACATAGAACGTTCCTAGTAGTGAACCCACCAGAATTTGCAATGCTCTTGGCAGCAAACCAATCAGCTTGCAATGCTTTTGAAGCGAACCAGCCAGCTAATACTGAAATCTATAGTTCACGTCACGTATGTTATAGATTTTTAGTATTGGCAGTGAATATTGGGACTTGGCCCAAGTAGGAGGGAATATTACTTACCGTGTAGAAAAATTCACAATTTAGCAGAAAACAGAAAAGCAGAAGCCAATCAGAACTCACGCTGGTAGAAAAGCAGAAACTAACCGATTATCACCTAAGCACCAGCACGAGTTCTGATTGGCTTCTGCTTTTCTACTTCTGCTTTGCTGAATGCGCTGTAGGGCTAGTTTTAGGTTGAAAACATAACAAATATAAGAAAGA